CAATGATTATTTGGGATTTTTTTTTTTTTTTTTTTTTAAACAAACAATTTAAAAATTGTAACTCCGTCACATGGCTGCAAAGGTGCGGTCACATTTAGCAAAATTTAATCATCTATCAATCTAGTCATTTTAAAGAGATAATTCACCAAAAACTGAAAAGGTTTTGACGGCAGCCATTGACTTCCATAGTATGGAAAAAAAATACTATGCGAGTCAATGGCTACCATCAACTGTTTGGTTATCACCTTTTTCAAAACATCTTCTTCTGTGTTCAACAGAAAACGAAACTCATACCGGTTTGGAACAACTTGAGGGTGAGTAAATGATGACAAAATGTTAATTTTTGGGTTAATTATCATTTTAATATTACACAAAACAGTAATATTGTAAAATATAAAAAAATATATATATATTTTCAAATGTAATGCATCACTACACTATTGACAATGGACAATTTTTTTCGTAAAAAAAAAAAAAGAATAAAATCCCCCCAAACGAATTATTTTAAAGTTGAGCTCAGTCACATGACTGTAAAAATGATCGGCGAAACTTCAAAGGCGAAATCTAGTCATTTTAAAGAGATAATTCACCAAAAACTGAAAAGGTTTTGACGGCAGCCATTGACTTCCATAGTATGGAAAAAAAATACTATGCGAGTCAATGGCTACCATCAACTGTTTGGTTATCACCTTTTTCAAAACATCTTCTTCTGTGTTCAACAGAAAACGAAACTCATACCGGTTTGGAACAACTTGAGGGTGAGTAAATGATGACAAAATGTTAATTTTTGGGTGAACTATCCCTTTAATAGGAATCCACGTGATCAGGAATTTTTACGTGAGAATGAAACATTTCCCTCAAGCAGAATTCTCATCAGGTTCAAGTAGGGCTGCACGATAAATCGCATGCGATATTTAACGCGCATCTTGTCAGAAAGCCGGTTCTGTAATCAGCGGTAAATCTCCATCACCTGCGTGCTTTCACATTGAGCAGCATTAACTACACAGAGCCGTTGTTCACCGACGAGCTGCGCAAAAAATCGGGCAAATATGAACGTGGTTTTGCGCAGCTCCTCGGTGAACAACGGCTCTGTGTAGTTAATGCTGCTCAATGTGAAAGCACGCAGGTGATGGAGATTTACCGCTGATTACAGAACCGGCTTTACTGATAAGATGCGCATTAAATATCGCAGTCGATTAATCGTGCAGCCCTAGGTTCAAGACATCAAGACAAATTTGGTGAATGTGACCGCACCTTAAGTGTTGTGCTGGTTGGCTTTATTCATCCTATAGGAGTACTGACTAAAATCTGGTGCTGTCTAGTTGGCACCAAGCGCCTGAAATGGACTTTTGTTTTATTAAAAAAAATTCAATTTGTGGCCTGAAAATGAGAACGGGTCTCTGGGTAGCTTTAGTGTGCCAGGTTAATTTTTCTCCGCAATAAAATGTGCAAATAATGTCCGCCGTCGATCCCATTTTCAATAGTGCACGTCAAACTAGTGTTCTTCGCATTACTGTAGTGCAATACTTCTGCTGTTCGTAGTTAGTTTAGTAATTGACCGCAAAAGGGAAAAAAGACGTTTCTACTGCATGCTTATTAGCTAAAATTGCAAAACATCCGGGGCTCTCATTATTTAGTGTTGCCTGTATGCTGAACGTCAGCATGTTTAAGTGTTTTGAAAACAAAAAGCTGCAGTTTAATTGGTCAAAATCTTGTGTTTTTGTTGTCTGAATCCTCACCACTGAAACTGTTGATAATCCCAGCCATTGTACACTACTTCCTTGTTCTAGTAACATTTTCTTATCCTCCTCTATGTTGCCGTTGGTTTGGTGACGGTTGTTGCGAGATGCTGTAGGTACGTGTCGGTCCCTCACCTCCTGCTGTGATCTGAAAGTCTTTGTCGAAGGTGGAGGAGCGGGCTTGAAGGGCGTCTGACGGTTGGCAAATACAGGGTCGAACGTTTCCCAATCATATGCTGCTCACGTTTCTTAGGGTGCGTTTCGGGTCGGAGGGGATTTTCAAACAGGATTTTTTTTTTGTCATAAAACTTCCAAATTGTGTCGACAGGTTGCAGGCAGGACCTCGTCAAAGGAACCATGACTGTAAAAACACACAACAGAATAAAGGCAATGTTAGTGTTTAAACTGAAAATACATCAGCTCAGTGAAAACATTAGATTATTATAAAATTATCTGTGCAGGAAGAATTTGACTTATTTTCTATCTGATAACAAGTACTATCAAGGCCTGAGGATTAAAAAAACTGACAATTATAGGCATTTTACATTTATACATCTGCTACTTATCACTGTATGATTTTATAAAATATTGCATTTTAAAAGCATTAGTTTAAAAATAATAAAAAATGAAACATTTAAAAATAAATATAGGACTAAACTATCAAACAAGTCACAAACTTAGTTTATATTTTATAATACATTTAATAAAATATAAATATTTTTAAGTTATTAAATGTATTTTGATACAAGCCTATAATTAAATAGTGTTTATAATTTGTATGCATTTAATAACACAAATAAATAACTTTTTTAATTTAAGTGAAATGTATTTTCACATAAAGCTATAACTTAAAAATTGTTGATTCATATACATTTAATAAAATATAACTAACTTCTACATTTAAGCTATTAAATATATTATGTGAAATGTATTATTGTCACATAGACCTATAATTTAATCATTTGTTTTTATTTTTTATAATTTAATATACTATAAATAAATAAGTTTATTAAACTAAATTACATTTATTGTCACAAAGCTATTATAATTTAATAATTTGTTTACTTTTTCATAAATGTAATAAATACATTGTAAATTTAAGTTGTTTAATTTATTAAATTATTCTGTTTTATTTTGAATTTATAATTACATTTTATATTTTAACTTTAGAATCTTAAAGTAACTGTGCATGTTTCAGTATGTACTGCTATTACAAACGTAAACATTTTCAATATAATCACTATTTTTATCTGATGCTATTTTATTTGTAATCAATATTCCCGAAGCTTGAATTCAAAAGTATGGACACTTTCGGATGGATCTGGGTGTAGATTGTGAATGTGAAGAGATGCTGCTGTTACTGAAGTGAGCACTAGAGGTCAGGCTGGACTCTCCGAGCTTCTGAAGCTGACCTGCTTACCATATGGGCCTTTACAACACAGTCTGACCTGAACTAAACCAGCAAACCTCCCTTCTGGGAGCTCTGACGCATCTCCACATACCATCACACTGACTTTATCAACATCAGCAGACGCTCGGCTCGTAAAGTTCAGATATCGCCAATGAACGGAGAAATATTTACACCAAGTTTATAGTGCGTTCACGGCATGCTGCAATTAAAGCGTGTTTCCCAATAAAAACACTTCATGTCTTTGTCAAACTGCTAGTTTTAAATCACGTAAAAACAACCAAAAGGGCAGCAGTTTGAAATAAGTTAGATATCCATCTCTACACATTTGATTGTTTATTATAAACAGATTCTGGCTGTCAGTACAGCAGTCCAACTGCTAAATAGCCGATAAAAACGCTATACACCACACAGCAACAGCAATATCGCAATTAACCTTAGCTGACATATTACAGGAAGGATGATGGTCTTTAATGCTGTGCTCTATATTTTCATGGGCGTTTATTTCTCTTAATATTCCTATTATAAAAATAACGATTTAATAATTAATTAATGATATTAACTCTTTCCCCGCCAGCATTTTTTTAAAAAGTTTGCCAGCCACCGCCAGCGATTTTGATGATTTTCACTAAGATTTGATGGCCTCCAGTATATTCATTTATATGCTGCCATTGCTGATGATCGCATTATTTTTCATAAGCATCCGTTTACATAAGAGATTGCTCGTTTCTCCGTCCTGTACACGTGTGTTTTTGTTCGGGAGGTTTTGTACTCGTTCAGAAGATGTGTAATAGCACCCTTTAGTGTATAACAGTGAAAACACGAAAAGCCGTAAAAACTCGTCTTTGGCGGGGAAGCGTTGTCTTCTAAAAGACGAGATAATTCGTCAATGTTATTGATGAAAGAGTTAATAATGATTTCTAATAATATGTGCATTTATAAATATCACAACATTTTATATAAAAATATCCGTAAAATAATACATTCATATACTATAGTTTTATATACCGTATTGACCCGAATATAAGACGATGTTTTTTTTCTTGGAAATACATCTGAAAAAACGCGGTCGTCTTATATTTAGGGTCTAGACCAGGGGTGGCAAACTCCGGTCCTGGAGAGCCGCAGCCCTGCAGAGTTCAGCTCCAACCCTAATTAAATCTCACCTGCCTGTAGCTTCCTAGTAACCGTTCAGACCTTGATTAGCTCGTTCAGGTGTGTTTGATTAGGGCTGAAGCAAACGGGCCAATACGGTATATATTGCGTCAAAATGGTTTATATTATATAACACTGTAAATTGAACATTTTATATAATAAATTATACGTAATATATAAAATAACAACATTACAAATAGTATTTTATCATTTTAATTATAATTATAGTAATTTTATATATAAAATTACTATAATACATTTATAACATTCAATATATATATATATATTCTAAATATTAAAAAATTATATTGTATATGTGCAGTATATATATATATCTTTATAATAATGCATATGTATATATTAACTACATTCACAATTATCAGAATCATAATTACTTATATACTTAATATTTTACATAATATCCTTAATAGTTTGTATATATAGATACATGGATTGATAGATAATTATATAATATAAATATATTATTTTAAATATAAAATAACATTTACAATAACCTTACATATATTTCATATAATTTCTTTACATTTTATATAAAAATATAATGCTTTTATCCAATCTGCTCGCATACCTTGCCTTGTGAGGCAAATGTACTTCTTGTTAGGCTATTTATTGAACCCCCTCGTATTGACTGGTAAAACAAGTGAAAAAGTGCTTGAGCGTTTGATATGCACTCAGGACGATAGCGAGAGCTGGGCTTGTTACGCCTGATTGGTTTTACAAAACTCTCAAAGTCAAATCCTGGAAACACTTTGGCTGAGAGGCTCTGTTAGGAGGGGCGGCGGGTAACTTTTGTTCTGGTTGACTCTTGCAGGTCACGCAAACACCACCACCCGCCCAACAGCCACTTGGGCCAAGTAACTCTTCCCCTGTAAGCTGTACTCCTCCCTCTCGCAATCCCATCTTCCCCCCCGTAATCCTTGGCAGTGACCAGCTCTGCCCCCCCACCCTCAAGTTCAACTTCAACTGCCTGTGACATCATGTCTCGTTGCTGTGGGCAACCAGACAGTTGGGACGTGACTTCTCAGTTTAGGGGCCGTGCTTCAACTTTGCCTCTCTTTTCTCCGTTCCTATCTCACATTTCCGCAGTTCTTTTCTCGTGTTTCTGACTGGGAATGGCACTGGGCTGAGAGCGCTTCCCCGTACGGATATACAGGGTTCAAACACTTAAAGACACACTTAAAAATGTTTGAATGTCACTACATTAGATGAGCCTGTATCTGTGTGTCTCAAACACCGCAGGATCTTTCTCTTCACTAATGTCACTTTTGCTCTGTGTCGTCTAGGTGGTTTTTACAATTATTAGTGCACTTTCTCAAAATAAAATGAAAAAAACTTTTCTCTTCACCAACATTGTCTCAGTGTCTTTTGACAAAACTGGTGTTTTGGTGATTTTGACAATGAATGCATTTTCTTAAAAAAAAAAAAGTATTCAAACACTTAAAGGCATATAAAAAGTTTGAATGTCACTGCATTAGAGGAAGTGTATCTGTGTGTATCAAATGCTGCAGGATCTTTTCTCTTCACTAACCTCACTTTCCTTCATTTTTGCTCAGTGTCTTTTGACAAAACTGGTGTTTTGGTGATTTTGACAATTAACAATGTCCTTTCTCAATGCGCATTTTCTTAAAATAAAATAAAATAAAATAAAACTTATTTATAGGATCTTTTCCTTTCATTAACGCCATTTTTGCTTTGCGTCTTCTGACAAAACTAGCATTTTGGCGATTATTATAATTATTAGTTCACCTTCTCATTGCACATTTTCTTGAAATAAATAATCCACTAACAATTCACAAACACCAAGTGTTACAAACCTTTTGTGTTCGTTTTCAGGTCTAGTTCTGTTCATTTATGACTGGAAAAAGTCATTTTTGTGATGTTTTGTTTGAAAATTATTTTTTCCCTTCAAAATACGTCACTTGCTTTGATATTTTGTTATCTAATGTAATAACATTTTAAAGTATAACTGAAGTGTCCAAATGTCTTTTGGGGACACATGAATGCTCAAGTGCAAGTTCACTGATACCCTCATGAAACATGTCTTTAAATTAAATTACACTGAATTATAATTAATACGGCACTTACTCAATTTAAACAAACAAGCAATGCATATTTTTCTATTCTCACTGCCTCTTGTTATTTGAATCATTGGATAACACTGAAGGAAAAATAAATAAAATAATAAATTAATCAAATGAGTTATAATTTATTCTTTTTATTGATGTTTGTATTGTATCGGATTACAAATATCAATGCATTTTCTCAGTGCACATTTTCCTAACAATAACAAATAAAAAAACACTAATAAAATAAATATTTCACTGCTGTCGTGCAATAATTATTACAACAGTAACAATTTACTTTCATTACTACCTCACTGCCTCTTGCATTTATTGTTTATCAATGTTTGTATCACATTGAATTACAATTATTAATGTACTTTCTCAATGCAGTTTTTTTAACAATACAAATTTTTAAAAAATTTTTACTGTTGTGTAATAGTAACACTACTGCCTCTTGCAGTTATCTTTTATCAATGCTTGTATTACAATGAATTACAACTAATGCATTTCTCAAAGCACATTTTGAAAATAAACGAAAACAAATGAATAATTAAGTGCAACAGCAAATAACGAATCTTCGCAAAACGTTTGCTTATGATAACTCGCTGCTAATTTGCACACTCAAGCAGTTTATCTCTGAGAGGACTAAAACAAAAAGTTCTATCTCTGCCTTTTAAAATTTAGAATAAAATGTGCCAAATCAGACAAAGCGAAGTCACTGACGGGAGAGAAGAAAAATAAAAACAGGAGTCACCAGCAGAGGGTGATAGCGAGTCGAGAAATGAGTTAAAGAAGGTAAAAATGAGGAATGGTTACGCACAAAGAGAGGAAAATAAATGGTCAAATCCAGAGAGGCCGACCAGCAGAGGGAGGAGGTGAGAGCGGGTGAGTTAGCGGCTTCAGATGGTCACCATGTGTTGAGGAGCAGGGAGCCGGCCCGGGGCGGGTGTGCTTTACACATTAATGACTAAAGTGTACTGGGTGATGGAGGTGGCCGCACATTCGCAACGCTCAAATCAACTACACCACGCCGATCAGCTCCAGTTATCGCAGACCCGCTCCAGATGGGCCCGACACCGCAGAACAGAGAGCATCATGGGAAACGAGGAGAGTCAGGTGGGGAGCAGCAGCCTAACGTGTTAAGATGCATGATTTTAAACACTCAAAGGTTTGTTTTGAATATGACCGAGTAAGAATCACCTGCGTCTGCTGGGGTATGTTCAGAAAGTTGTTGTCCCGTGATCCGATGCTGACAAACCTGTTGGGAGCTGTGGAGCCTGGCGTGGAGTATGCTGAGGGAGAGAAATAAGAAAAAAAACATTTCATTTCATTTCTTTTTTAAATCACCCTGTACAATGTTTGCAAAATCGTTTAGTTATTAAAACAAATTTTAGTCAATGTGATCTATTTGAAAAGATCAATTGATTCTGCAAAGGCAAACCTTCAGATATATTGTGCAAATTTCATCAAATATATAGTGGAAACTGAAACTTTTCTGTATTGAATTGACTTGTTGGCAAACAACAAACAAAAGCAATGTAAGAATTTATCATTAAAGATACACTATGGTTGATTGTTCTTGGTTCACACGGTTGAAGATCAATAGATTAAAAAGGTGTTTGAATCTGCAAATCGGTTTGAAGTCATTATCAAATTTAGGGCAGTTTTTGTTTGGATTCAGATTTATGTGATGGACTCCATGGTGTAACTGTTCATCAAATATAGAGATCTAACATAAATCAGTATGTGTGTAAAAACGGAGAAATCAAACACAAAGCCGCATTTGTTCTAGTTTGCTGTTAGCGCTTTCATCAGCAAACATTCAAAAAGGCAACAAAGAGAATCTGCTTTGTTCATGACATTCTACATTAATGCTGATAACTTAATTAATATAGAATTGAATTCTATATTATATAGGATATGTAAAATATTAATGGAAACATTTAAACCTGTGATTGCAGATTTAAATTCTACATTAATGTAAATAAATTCTATTTTAATACAGAATTCTATATTACTAGTATATAAACGCTAATATTGATACACCTATGATCACAGAATTGAATTTTACAATAATATATCATTTAATTATCTAAAATATAAATGCCAATATATGAACTCCTGTGATTGCAGAACTGAATTCTACATTATTGCAAACAAATTCTATATTAATATAGAATCGCAATATGCAAATAAATTCTATATTAACATACAATTGAATTCTATATTATAAATATATATAAACACTAATATATAATAGGCTGTAATTTCAGAACTGAATTCTACATTAATGCAAATAAACTATATTAACAGAATTTAATTCTATACGGGGTTTCGGGACATTTGTTTTGTATCTTTACCCCGAACAACCCCCATTAACCATGGTAAACTCATCATATAGGTACCTCTATATGCGTAATGCTGTAACAAAAAAAACCCCTCTCTTTTAATCTGTGATCAGGTTTGTTAAGTGCGTTCTGGAGAATCAGCAACATATAAACACATAAAAAGACACACAAACAACATAAAAAACAATTGAAACAATGAAAGAAAACACAATGAAAAGGAACGAAAAACAAAAATAAGAAACATGATAGAAAAGAGGAAAAAGTGCTCCGTCCAGTGCCCCGTCTGTGGTGAGTGAATATTTTACAGTATGTCTGATTATCCACCCCCGATACGCCACCTCCTTTCTGAACGGCCCAAATTTGGTTCATGTACTGGACGAACTGACCTTTAGACCAGCACTGGAGCTCAACTATCACATTTCCACAGGCCAAAAGCTAACTAGCAATGTGAACGTAACCAAAACAAACTCAAATGAAACCAACGTAAAATTACAAAGCATGGGTTTCTGGATGTTGCATTCGGGAGTGTAAAGGCCCTTTCGCATCAGGGCTGCAATGCAATTTGACCAGCACAAACCAACCTGGACCAGAATATAAATTCAAGAGGGTCAAAGCTGGTCTTTTCAGTTTGGTAGATACAGATTCTTCCATCTTGTTTTGATTTTAGTGCCAGAACTGCCACACAATAATGAGGTCAAGAGATTTGTACAATAATAGCTGCATTTTGAAAACGGTTTCAACTAAAATGCATGTTTTTTTTTTGTTTTTTTTTTAAGTATTTTGGAGTCCACTTTAACTGCCCTAAATTTGCACCCTTGAATACAGAGCCCCCAAGAGGACATGGTCATGGAAAAAAAATATGAGATGGGAGGAAAAATTTTTTTTCAAGGATTCTGCAAAACTTCGCATTCGCTTGCAAAACGTTTGCATTCTCCCGAAATACTTTGCATTCTCTTACAAAAGTACTACATTCCCCCATGATATTTTGTTTACTTGCAAAACTTTTGCATTCTCCCAAGAAATTTTGAATTTGCTTACAAAACTTTTGTGTTCTCTTGCAAAAGTATTGCATTCCTCAAAAAACTCTATGCTCAATCGCAAAACATTTGCGTTAACTTGCAAAAGTACTGCGTTTTTCCCCGAAACTCTTTGTGTTCACTTGCAAATCTTTTGCGTTCCCTTTCAAAAGTATTGCATTCCCCCAAAAAAACGTTACATTCGCTTGCAAAGTAAAGCATTAGCTTTACTTAGTATTGCGTTCTCTCGAGAAACTTTGTGTTCGCTTGAAAAACGTCTGCGTTCCCTTGCAAAGGTACAGTATTGTGCCCCCCGGAGAAATTTTGTGTTCTCTTGCAAAAGTATCATATTGTTGATAGTATCGCGTTCCCCCGAGAAACTTTTTGTTCACTCGCCAAACATTTGCATTAGCTTGAAAAAAGTATTGTGTTCTCTTACAGAAGTATTGTGTTCCCCTGAGAAATTCTCTGTTCACTCATGAAAGTATTATTCCCCCGAGAAACTTTGCATTCACTTACGAAACTTTTGAGTTCTCTTCCAAAAGTATTGCGATCCCCTGAGAAATTTTGCGTTCACTTACAAAACTTTTGCATTCTCTTGCAAAATTTTTTTGCAAGAGAACAAAATGTTTCTCAGGGGAACAAAAATGTTTTGTGAGAGAATGCAAACATTTTCCAAGTGAATGCAAACTTTCTCGTGGGAATGAAAACGTTTTGTGAACAAATGCTATTTTTTCAGAGGAACAAAAATGTTTTGCCCCCCCCCATCACCACGTCCCTTTATGGGCTCTGTACTTTAGTGACATTTTAATGGCTGTTAAACAGTTAAACCACTGAAACTACTGCCTCAAAACTAGGATACATAAAAAAACGAGAAAAAAAAATTGTAAGAACTAGTTCTGACCCACCAGTTGGCAAAAATTACGAATAATGGGCATTTCATGTTAACTTAAGGAACACAAACTAAATGGCAAAAAGCGGTCCAGCTGTGGCTAGATGACTGGGGATCTTCATAGGGTTTGGTGGAATGGGGGGGTCGGGTCACTTACACGGAGATGTGGGTGAGGTGAGTCCGCCATCGGGGGGCGTGCTGCTGGATTTAGAGTCTGGCATTGGGAGGGGCACTGGACGCGCCACAGGGGGGGGTGGAGGCAGCAAGAAGGAGCCCGGCATTTTGCTCTGGCCGCTCCCGTTCGGCTGCAGACGACACAAACAGGGTGAGGAATACGGACACGACCGACACCCCGCAAATGGAAAAAACAACGCAGGCTAGCTCCGAAAAAAGGTATGGGGGGTGGCTGGTAGTGGAGAGTGTTGAGAGGGAAACAACCAACAGGATGAATGTCTGTTTGCTTTTGTTTATGAAGGGGTGTGTTCGTATTTGTTTGTGTGCATGTTTGTGTGTTGACTTCACCACAGGCACAGACAGGAGCAGTGGAGGAGCTGGAAAAAAATAAAATGAAGGACTTTAGGCAGAAGGTGAAGAAGAAGAAGAAATGGACGCACTAATGGTGAGGTGAGTTTTGGTCCATGGAATGATGTCAAATCAAAACCAGGGCGCAAAAAAAAACCAAGCCACGTTCACGACGCTAAAAAAATGTCACAAGCAGAACTGAGGAGGGGATGCACGCTACGCCGAAATGCGCAGAGGTCGTCAGCTGTTGCGCAGATGGGTTTTATCGTGGAAGTGGACAGAGAAGGAGAGATTAACTCAAGATTGGCTAGACAAGCACAAGAGACTAACAGTGACCAATCAGTCGGCCTCAAAGACAAGGAACGCACACATTTGTTTTTATCGGAAAAGACAGGAGGAGCTTGTTTCGTGTTTTAAGAAATGCAAACAAAAGTAATACAGCTGATAATGTTATTTGCACATCGAACAAAAAAAAGTTTTTTAGGAATCATTAAATAATCTAATTTTAAAATCCAAAAAATGCTGATTTTTCTTCTTCCAGTGGTTAGGACTTGGATTCAGGTCTGTAGTAATTATAGATAAATAATAAAAAACAATAAAAGTGAATTGAATGTTAGTACTGTAAATTAGGGCTGCATGATATATCGTTTCAGCATCGATATCACGATGTGCGCATCCGCGATAGTCACATCGCAGGATGTGCAATGTTTAGTATACTGACCGTTATATTTATACTGATCATTTTCTTCGCTCACACACAGACACTGTGTCACCGGACGCGACACGACAGATGTCAGATGACAGATGCTGCCCCGCGCTGCAGCTAAAGTCTGTCTACACTGGACGTGACAAAGCGACTTTTGCAAATCATCTGAACTGTGTGTCAGTACGTCATAAATAGAACGCGGCATCAGTTTACTGTCGGGGATTTGTTGTGTCGCACCCCGCCGCATCCAGTTTAGACAGCATCACTGATTATAATGGGTTCTATAGTATTTTGCCGTGCTGCGCCGCTCGCGTCCGGTGTAGACACAGTGAGAGCTGCGCAGATGCACGTGAACTCTGAATTCTGTTCACTTCCGCGTCTATTAATGACACACGCGCAAAATTATGTCAAAATGCATGTCTCTGCAAGTATCCTTGTAAACGCAGTTGGTTATGGCTTAGGTGAAGGTAAACAATTGTGAAAGAAAATGGATTGTGAAAAAATTTTGTAGCTTTAGATTTATTTATACAGTGAAGACTTTGCCATGTTATTTTACATTTGATTATTCAATTTCTGTAGCTGAATACTGTTAGACTTACCTGAAAAATGTAAAGCACTGTTCATTTGTATCTTTGTTCTATTTATCTATGCTTGTAATTTGTTTATTGTCTATGCTGATTTACTCGCCTACAAAATCACCCCAATCATTGATTTTTTTTCCAAATAGAGCTATTCAAGTCATCTGGTGATTTTTTTTTTCATAATGCAATATATATCGCAGAAAAACAAAATATCACAATGTGAGTTTTTTCCAATATCGTGCAGCCCTACTGTAAATGCGTGCTAAATATGACATAACCTCACTTATATATATATATAAGATTTTATAATTAGTTAATTAGAATGACCACAGAGTAACCCAAGCCCTAAAAGAAAACATTTGTGCATTATTTAACACGTTTTTGGATGCTTTCATTTCCCACTTCAATCTTGGCTTCTTGGTTAAATGTGACAGTTGTCTTCACAACGGTAAGCTCAATTCAACATTTCTTTAAATGCTTGATAACATTCATTTCACAAATATGAATTAATTTCATACTTGAGGCAAGAGATTTTGCTTGACCGAGGCAAATATGTTGGCTAAATTTGAAAGCTACGTTCTGTTTCATCAACATAAATCATTTTTTAAACTCATCATTTCTCATCTCTAAACAGTTGCATACTGCAAAGTATATACTCCGTATTTCCAAATTAGTAAAACAGTATGCAGTAAGCAATGATAATGTTTAATACAGTAGAATGTGACAATGTCTACATTCTAAATGGAATACTAGTGTAAAGCTTCCAAAAGGACTGCATTGTGGGATACAGTATTCCATGCAGTGTTCTCTGTTGCATACTGCATTATTCTATGCATACAGAAAATATGCATAAGTATACATACTACAAAACTAGTATGAGTAGTATGATATGATGCCATTTCCAGTATTCACTATAAACCAGTCTGAGAATATCTGCAAAAAACATCAAGCATTTTTGCAATACATACAGCAGATCAAGTTACATGTACAGCAGCAATCAACTGACCCCAGTGTCAGATCATCACATCCAGTATGAGGTCACTTCCTCTTACCTGACCACTAGCCTGTCCCGATCCGTCGGCACACACGAACTGCACAAACTCCTTGAGCGGGTCCTGTCCCGGGTGGTGGTGGTATCGGATGGTGGGATGGGTGAAGTATCTCACGCTCTCTTATAATCTCTCAAACTCAAAATTGTCCAGACAGACACCAACATGCTCTCAGAGTTCAAAAAAGCCTCTTAATTCTCGTTATGTTATCATAATATTTCATCATGGATGATGTAATAATTTTTACTACAAATTGCCAACAGAGCCCCCAAACTCTAACATGGACGACTATGCCAATCAACCATAAATGTGAAAGATAGACTGATTGCTTCCACTTGAACATGAGTTCCAGATTTTGTACTTTAGACAACCTGCTTCTTTGTTTATTAAACTGTAGGAAACTGAATGAAAGCACAGATAAACAAATAAAAATGCAATGTCGATACATTTTTGTATCAGCACAACCCTAATGTGAACAAACTGCAGTAGTTGATAAGTCATGACGTGCTCTCATTTGCATGAAGAATAACATTATGCTCATCTCCCGACCAGCGAGTGGAGGGGTGAGGGGTCTTGTCTCCTCCAGACAAGCAGGGCCCCCAGCTGCCTGGGACAGTCTGCCAACTTCCAGAGCCTCCCTGTAACCCAGACGCGGGCGCTGTGCTCCCAGCCAAAGCCCTGCTTTTCATCCTCTCTGCCATGCAGACTGCTATTCCCTCCTCTTCCTCCGTTTCTTTCGCGCTTTCATCATCCACCCTTTAATCCCATTAGGGAATGGGATGGAGCCAAGGCTTCAAGAAGGAGGCAAATGGCACCAAAAACTACCACCATCAAAGACCCCCTCCCACCAGGAGTGACTCCACAACAACAGCTCTAAACACAACCGCTACACACAACACAGGACCACACAAGAGCCATCGCATAACATCACCAGCAATTAATCTGAACATATAACGCGAAAACACAACTGAACCTGTCTATACGTCTATCTATCTATCTATCTATCTATCTATCTATCTATCCATCCACCCATCTGTCTATCTATCCCTCTGTCCATCCATCC